ATCCAGAAAAAGAAATAAAGGGCATCCAAGTCAGTAAACAGGAAGTCAAACTGTCCCTGGTTGCTGATGATATGAACATTTACCTCGAAAAGCCTAAGGACTCCTCCAGAAGGCTCCTACAACTGATAAAAGAATTCAGCAAAGTTTCCGGATACAAGATTAATGTACACAAATCAGTAGCTCTTTTATTCTTTTATTCACTAACAGAAACCAAATGGAGAATTAAATCAAGAACTCCCCTTTTACAATAGCTGAAAAAAAAGAAAAAGAAAAACTTAGGCATATACCTAATGAAGGAGTCAAAAGACCTCTAAAAGGAAAACTACAAAACACTACTGAAAGAAATCATAGATGACATCAACAAATGGAAACACATTCCATGCTCAAGGATGGGTAGAATCAATATTGTGAAAATGATCATACTGCCAAAAGCAATCTACGAATTCAGCACAACTCCCATCAAAATACTACCATCATTCTTCACAGTTAGAAAAAACAATTCTAAAATTCATATGGAACCAAAAAAGGGCCCATAGAGCCAAAGAAAAACTAAGCAAAAAACAAATCTGGAGGCACCACACTACCTGATTTCAAACTATACTACAAAATCATAGTGTCCAAAACAGCATGGTATTGATATAAAAATAGACACACATACCAATGGAACAGAGAATCCAGAAATAAACTGAAATAATTACAGCCAAGCAATCTTCAAAAAAGTAAAAATACATAAAGTGGGGAAAAGACACCCATTTCAACAAATGGTGTTGGGATAATTGGCTAGCCACATATAGGAGAATAAAACCGGATCCTCATCTCTCACCTTATTTAAAAAAAAAAAAAAAAAAAAAAATCAACACAAGATGGATTAAGGACTTAAACCTAAGACCTGAAACTATAAAAATTCTGGAAGATAACAATGGAAAAACCCTTCTAGACATTGGCTAGGCAAAAATTTCATGACCAAAAACCCAAAAGCAAATGCAGTATAAACAAAGATAAATAGCTGGGACTTAATTAAATAGAGAGCTTTTGCATGGCAAAAGGAACAGTAAACAGACAACTCACAGAGTGGGAGAAAATCTTCACAATCTATACATCTGACAAAGGACTAATATACAGAATCTACAAGGAACTCAAACAAATCAGTAAGAAAAAAAAATCAAAAACTGTGCTAAAGATAATTCTCAAAAGAAGATATACAAATGGACAACAAACATATGAAAAAATGCTCAACATCACTATTGATCAGGGAAATGAAAATCAAAACCACAATGCAAAACCACCTTATTCCTGCAAGAATAGTCATAATCAAAAGATCAAAAGACTGTAGATGTTGGAGTGGATGCGGTGATTAGGGAACACTTTGTAAAAAGTAAAGTAGAGGTTCCTCTTCAAAGTTTTTTCCCCCCATCTAATTAGGAATAAATGGTAACTTTTCTTAGAAGCAAAATTTATTCAAAGACCTGTACTCCTAAATATTTGCCCTGGTATGCTTATAGTGGTCCACTCAAGCATTAGCCCGTTCCTCTTCCTTATTTAAAAGTGGTTTTACCTTTCTCAGCATTCCACAAGTTACTCACTCCTTTCTTTGTTCTCCTTTACTTTTGCCTCTTTTAAAAAGTTCTGGCCGGGCGCGGTGGCTCACGCCTGTAATCCCAGGACTTTCAGAGGCCGAGGCGGGCGGGTGACAAGGGCAGGAGATCGAGACCACGGTGAAACCCTGTCTCTACTAAAAATACAAAAAATTAGCCGGGCGCGGTTGTGGGCGCCTGTAGTCCCAGCTACTCGGGAGGCTGAGGCAGGAGAATGGCGTGAACCCAGGAGGCGGAGCTTGCAGTGAGCCGAGATCGCGCCACTGCACTCCAGCCTGGGCGACAGAGCGAGACTCCGTCTCAAAAAAAAAAAAAAAAAAAAAGTTCTAAGTTGCTAGCTAATCAGGACAAATACAGAATGTGAGGTCCCATTCCAGCCAACGGAAACCGGACACAACAGTAGGGTGGAAGCGTCAGGTTATAAATGACCCTGTCTCCTTTGTTCATTGTACTTTCATGGCAAAACTGCTGGCGAGTGTGCACTTTCTGCAGGAAGTAAAAATGGCCTTATTAAACAAATTAAATTTATGTTCAAGTGCTATTTCTTTATGGCACTAAGGAATAAACATTTCAAACAACTTCTACACTGCTGGTGGGAATGTAAACTAGTACAGCTGCAATGAAAAACAGTGTAGATATTCATTAAAGAACTAAAAGTAGAACTACCATTTGATCCAGCAATCCCACTACTGGGTATCTATCCAGAGAAAAACTAGTCATTATTTGAAAAATATACTTGCACATGCATGTTTCTAGCAGCACAATTCGCAACTAAAAAAATCACAGAACCAACTGAAATGCCCAGCAATCAATGAGTGGATACACACACACACACACACACACACACACACACACACACACACACCCCGGACTACTACTCAGCCACAAAAAGGAATGAATTAACAGCATTTGCAATGACCTGGATGAGACTGGAGACTGTAATTCTAAGTGAAGTAACTCAGGAATGGAAAACCAAACATCATATGTTCTCACTGATATGTGGGAGATAAGCTATGAGGACACAAAAGCATAAGAATTATACAATGAACTTTGGGGACTTTGGGGAAAGAGTGGCAGGGGGAGATAAAAGACAACTTATATGGTGGAGTGTATCCTGCTCAGATGATGGTTGCACCAGGATCTCACAGGTCACCACTTAAGAACTTATTCATCTAAAGAAATACCACATGTACCCCAATAACTTAAGGAACAGCAAAATTAAAAATATATATATTCTTATAATTACAGACCAGCTCACATAATACTTCTAAAACTATTACACAGGTCAGGCATACTGGCTCACGCCTGTAATCCCAGGACTTTCAGAGGCCAACGTGGGTGGATCACCTAAGGTCAGGAGTTGAAGACCAGCCTGACCAACATGGTGAAACCTCATCTCTACTAAAAATACAAAAATTAGCTGGGCATGGTGGCGGGCACCTGTAATCCCAGCTACTTGGGAGGCTGAGGCAGGAGAATTGCTTGAACGTAAAAGGCAGAGATTACCCTGAGCTGAGATCGCACCATTGAACTTCAGCCTTGGTGACAGAGCAAGACTCTGTCTCAAAAATAAATAGATAAACAAACAAGCAAACAAGTAACCAAAAAGAAAAAAAAACAAAGTTGTGGGTCTAGCACGATTACCAGTCAAGTTAAAACATAGAATCTGCATGGGGAGATTCTGAATCATAAGCCCAAAGACTGTACAGTAATAAATTCAACACAAAGCAAATAGCATGAATTTAGTTTCAGCATTTTTGAAAATTTTTGTTTTCTAGTAAATTAGACACCTTATTAAAATAATTTATTTTGTTCCAATATTGCTTTTTGCTGCTAAAAACTTTCAAACCTGTACTCACACAAACATACTTACTCCATAATTTATTTACACCTAAGGTTTATCTTTAACAGATGTATATATATTTAATTGTATGTAAATCAATTCTAAGAGTCCATATGTGCTTGCGGGCAGAGGCCACATGTTCAAAGAAAAATATATTAAAATTTTTAAAAATATTTATTCAGAACTCAGAAATGTATGGATTTTACATGTTTGCATATAATTTTTTATTATGACCATAAAAATGACCCTGTAGTCAATAACAATTGTAAATTTAAAAATAACTAAAACAGTAGAATTGAATTGCTTGTAGTAAAAAGAATAAATACTAGAGGTAATGGATATCTCATTTCCTCTAATGTGATTATTATATAGAGTATGCCTGCATCGAAATATACCATAAATGGCATACATATATACACATATTATGTATCCACAAAAATTAAGAAAAATAAATTTAAATCTGAAAATAAGAATAAAAATTTAACCTATAGGAACAATATTCTTTAACTTATTGGCAATTTAAAGTCACTGGCAAAAAAAGATTGCTAGAGATGACAGTCCATTATCTTACAAAAGTGTATTGTTATCATCTTTTACCTACACCCTTGAGTAAAGTGGAATAGGTTAATGTTAGTGGCATGAGAACACTTCATTGAATTCACAATAGTATTTAACATGTTAAAAATGTTGAATTGAAAAGCTAAGTTCACACATAATTTATAATTTAAAAATATACTGCATATTATTCCATAGAAGTACAATTAATAAAATAACATATAACTTAATTTTAACTAGAATTAAGAATATTTTTCATTCATAGTGAACACCTACCTCATGCATCACTCAATATTATAAGTTAACCACAAAGAGCCTCTCTACTTAAATTTTCATCATGCATCTTACATTTTAATGTCCTTATCTTTTCATAGAAAAGATCATAAATAATGCCTAATAAAAATCTCATATATTTTATGCAGCAACAATTAGTCACATGCTTTCACATGTGAATACACTAGGAATGATGAAACAGTATGAAGTAATTTAAGAGTTTAACACATTATTCACTTTTTAAAAAATGTACTTTTTTAAAGTACTTTGAATGTAAAGTTATATACAAATAATGTTTACACAAATTGTAGTTTGTATTATTTTCTACTCAGCACTCTTAGTGTAATGTCTAATGTTTGAGCACCCTAGACATTTCTACTGTGAATTGTTCCCTGATATACACATAGACTTAATTTTGGATTGAGTATCTTTCATATTTAATGCATCTACAAAAATATATTTTAGATGAACACCTCAGTGGTTTATAATTTGTAGTTTTTGAAAAAATGTTTTTCCAAATTCATTACACTTGCAGGGTTTTCTTCAATATAAACTCCCTGATGTTCAACACAATTTTAACAACTGCCTGAGGGTTTTTCTCTAGTACAAAATGTGTACAATAAGATCTGTGATGCAAGTAAAGATATTACAATCCTCTTCATATTTGTAATGCTTTTTCAAAATAAATACTCTTCTATACTTTAAAAACATATTTTCTGATCTTCTGAGAGTAGATTTTAATGCTTTTATTTAGTATGAACTCTATGATTTTGAGTAAGATGTGGGCAGGCATTAATGGCTTTTTTACTTTGCCTATATTTGTACATTTGTTCTGAAGTATAAATGCTTTCCTGTGCAATAAGGTGTGAGCATTGGTTCGAAGCCTGGCCACATTGTTCACACTGGTAGTTCTCCAGTATGAATTATCTTACCTACAATCAAGTGTGACAATCATTTAAAGGCTTTGTCACATCTTCACATTTCTAGGATTTTTCAGCAGAATGATTTTCTTTAAAGTTTGAGGTATTGTCAAAAGCATCAGCACCTCCCTCAGGTTTGTAGTTTCTCTCCAGTGTGAATAATCTTATATCTACTAAGAATTGAGGACTTTCATAGGCTTTGGCACATTATTCATACTTGCAATATTTCTCTCCAATATGAGTTATCCTATCCGTGGTGAGGTAGGGCTGGTTAACAGCTTTGCCACATTTTCCCCATTTATAGGGTTGCTCTCCAGTATGAATTCTCTTATGTTTAGTTAGGGTTGAGGACCAGAAAAAGGCTTTGCCACATTCTTCACATTTGTAGGGTTTTACTCCAGTATGAATTACCTTATGTTTAGTAAAAGTTGAAGACCGGCTAAAAGATTTGCCACATTCTTCACATTTGTAGGGTTTCTCTCCAGTATGAATTCTCTTATGGTTAGTAAGGATTGAAGACTGCTTAAAGGCTTTGCCACATTTCTCACATTGGTAGGGTTTCTCTTCAGTATGAATTATCTTATGTTTAGTAAGAGTCGAGGACCAGTTAAAGGCTTTGCCACATTCTTCACATTTGTAGGGTTTCTCTCCAGTATGAATTATCTTATGCGTAGTAAGGGTTGAGGATTGGCTAAAAGCTTTGCCACATTCTTTACATTTGTAGGGTTTCTCTCCAGTGTGCATCCTCTTATGTCTAGTTAGGGTTGAGGACCATATAAATGTCTTGCCACATTCTTCACATTTGTAGGGTTTCTCCCTAGTATGAATTCTCTTATGTTTAGTAAGGGTTGAGGACCAGATAAAAGCTTTGCCACATTCTTCACACTTGTAAGGTTTCTCTCCAGTATGAATTATCTTATGTGTAGTAAGATTTGAAGATCGATTAAAACCTTTGCCACATTCTTCACATTTGTAGAGTTTCTCTCCAACATGAATTATTTTATGTGTAGTAAGAGTTGAGAGTTGCTTAAAAGCTTTGCCACATTCTAAACATTTGTAGCGTTTCTCTCCTGTATGAATTATCTTATGTGTAGTAAGGGTTGAGGATTGGCTAAAAGCTTTGCCACATTCTTCACATTTGTAGGGTTTCTCTCCAGTGTGCATCCTCTTATGCCTAGTTAGGGTTGAGGACCATATAAATGCTTTGCCACATTCTTCACAGTTGTAGGGTTTCTTTCTAGTATGAATTCTCTTATGTTCAGTAAGGGTTGATGACCAGATAAATGTTTTGCCACATTCTTCACACTTGTAAGGTTTCTCTCCAGTATGAATTATCTTATGTGTAGTAAGATTTGAGGGTCGATTAAAAGCTTCACCACATTCTTCACATTTGTAGAGTTTCTCTCCAGCATGAATTATTTCATGTGTAGTAAGGGTTGAGAGTTGCTTAGAAGCTTTGCCATACTCTTCACATTTGCAGGGTTTCTCTTCAGTATAAATTTTCCTATGATTAGTAAGGGTTGAGGACCAATTAAAGGTTTTTCCACATTCTTTACATTTGTAGGACATCTCTCTATGATAAATGCTTTTGTGTTGGGTTTTATGTGAAAGCATGCAAAATGGTTTGACACATTTTTTACCTTTAGAAGATTTCTTTTCAGTATGTCTTATCTTATGTCTGTTTGAATTTAAAAATTTAAATAAGACTTTCAAATATTTTTCACTTTGAAATACTTTGCTCTGGGCAGTTGTGAAACACTGGTTATGTCCATTATAACCTTCTTTGTTCACCTTACACTCATCCACACTTTTATAGCCTTTTCTTAACTGTAAATTCTCAGGTCCATATTTTTCATATCTTCTGGGTATTACTTTTTGAAAAGAATCATCCATGCCCTGCTCTGGCCAAAGGTCTTGAGCAAAAAGAGGACATATACCTGAAAAAATAATTAAATAAATAAATTACTCCATTTACTAGACTCAGATGAATATAGTTTTAAAATCTTACCTATAAAATTATACAAACTACATAAACAAGATGGCACTGCAAAATACCACAGGCCCTAATTCTTTCATAAACATAAATGTAACAAAAACATACAGACCAAAACACATCTGTGGAAAAGTTATAAATGAGTCAAGTGTGTGCAGTGTCCCAGGTGAGCACAATGCAAAAGAAACACGTGGAAGAAAAAGAAAAGTCTGTTAAATTTACTAAACACATCTTTTCCTGGTTCCCACTATAACATAGTGCCTTTACAACTAAATTGCCAACTCTTGGTTTCTGTTTGAAAAGAAAGGTAAAATACTGGCACATTCATTGTCATTTCTGGCTTTTAGTGGTTTTTCCTGACACTGGTTTCTGTCTCTCATGACATAAAGTACTGAAAGAAATGGTGGTATATTTTGGAATGAGAGTTTGAGTCTGCTGAGACCAAAGAAAAATGTTACATACAGCAGCAGACAGACTGCAGTGCCACAGAAATGGAACAGGTGTAGCAAGTGATGACTGACTCTACAAAGTAACATGAGTAAACTCTCTTAACTAAAGAATAAACACAAAATTTCAGACAACACATATCCTAAGAACATGTTTAAGGAACTCTCATAATCAACAGCCAAGAAAATTGTTTTCAGAATATGCCAGGACAAAGTTACATTATAAAGATTTTGACAAGAAGATTTTTTTAATGTCCAAATCTCAATCAAAGATTATAATATATACAAAATAGGACAATACAATACCACCAAAAATATAAAATTTTCTGAAAGAAACCATAAAAAAGATGTATACATTAATTTTAATATTTGGTAATAAACTGATTAAAATAGGAACAGAGACAACTATGGAAAATTAGAAAAATGAGGATGAGAATAAAAAATATTTAAGATATCAAAAAACAGAAATTGTGGAGATAAAATATACACCAAAAAACTGACAGATCCTGAAAGTAAAAAAAAAAAAAAGATGTAAAAATAAAAAAGCTCAACAAACAAACTAGAATAACAAAAAGATATTTATTACAAACACATACATGAGCACAATTTCAAAAGTCACAGACAAAAAGATTATCTTTGAAGCTGCAAGATAAAACTGATGTGCCAGGTCAGGCACGGTGACTCACACCTGTAATCCAGGCACTTTGGGAGGCTGAGGTGGGCTGATCACCTGAGGTCAGGAGTTTGAGACCAACCTGACCAGCAAGGCGAAACCCCATCTCTACTAAAACTACAAAAATTAGCCAGGCGTGGTGGTGTATGCCTGTAATCGCAGCTACTCAGGAAACTGAGGCTGGAGAACCACCTGAACCCCGTAAGTGGAGATTGCAGTGAGCTCACGTCACACCACTACACTCCAGCCTGGCTGAGGGATACAGTGAGACTCTGTCTCCACAAAAAAAAAAAAAAGAAAAGAAAAGAAAAGAAAAGAAAAGAAGTGATGTGCCATTTACAAACATACTCTTATGAGATAATCAGTGAACTGTTAACAAAAATTTTGCAGGCCATAAGGGAACTGTGTGATGTAGTCATGAAAAAATTGTGAAAAAAAAAAAATAGCTTCAATTAATTGAGAATAATACCATCAGTGAATCTGTCCTCCCAAATAAAAAAAGTAAACACCTTCCAAAGTAACCAAATTCTAAAAAAGTATATTGGAAGTGCATATGCCCTACAGATAAAAGGTGCTGAAAACAGTTCATTCTACTGAAAATAACATGATTTAAAAAAAATAATAATATAAAAATACACGATTTTCTAGGAAAAAATATGCAAATACACAAAAGTAGAATTTCTTAGCATTACCCTAGTGGTGCAGAAAACATTTTTAATTATTCTCTGAAATTTGAAGGATAAAAGCATAGAAATCATCATAAATATTCATTAATGAATATACAATATAAAAAGATACCATTAACAACATCAATGACAAATTTGAGGGAAGGTGTAATAAGAACAAATTTTTGTATAAAACTTAAGTTTATTTACCAGATTAAAATATGTTGTTGTATCTTTTAGAGGTTATATGTAATACTCCAAGGTACCACAAAAATATTTGTATAAATACACAAAACAAAATAAGTGAAAGCCTATCAATACAAATATCAAAAAGACACAAAGAAAGATGGAAAGAGAATAAAAGACAAAGATGCAAGAATCAAATAAAATACTTAATAAAGTAACAATCTATTTCAGAAAATTATTTAAATATATATAAAATTAACTTTTAAATTGAGACATACTTTCAATAAATAGTTTTATTAAAATATTTTAAAGACCGAGATTCATCTTGCCTTTCTACAAGAGTCAGTTGAAATCTAATGATAAAAAAAGACTGGAAGAGGTAGGAAGAAAGTGGACATTCCATGAAAATATTAATCAAATGAGAGCAGAAACAGTCAAAATAATCTTCCACAAGCTACATCTTAAGTGAAAAATTATAATATTTTATAAAATGTACTTGAAATTGAAACTCCAAAGAAACAAAGAAGGACATCAAAAAATAATAGATTTATTCACTGGGAACCTATGAAAAATTTGTGTGTGTGTGTGTGTGTGCATGTGTGTGTGTCTCACATTAGGGTTCCAAATATATAGAGCAAATATTGACAGAATGGAAGAAACACACAGAAAGCAATATAATTATAGCAAGATATTTTAATACCACACTTACTGTAATAAAAATAAAACAAGAAAGAATGTTAATAAGCAAACAGACTACTTAAAGGCAGTATAAAACAATTATTCCAGAGTTATGGAGAACACTCCTCAACAACATCAGAATACACACCCTTCTCAATAGCTCATACATTTTCCTTGATAAACCACATCTTAAGCCAAAAAGGAAGTCTTACCGAAATTTTTAAAAGTAAACTTCTATGAACTACTTTCTATGAGTAAAATGGAGTATGAGTATCCAACAATAAGAGAGAAAAACTGAAAAATTTACAAATATATAGAAATTAAACAACACACCCTTGAGTGTGCTTTTATACAAAGGTTGAAATAGTTAATATTGTGAAAAGGTCCATCCTGCTCAATGCAATCCACAGACTTAACGCAATGTTTTTCAAATTTCTCATTGCATTTTTGAAGAAACAGGAAGAGCAATCCTAAAAGTATACAGAATCGCAAGAGACAATAAAGTACCCAACAATCTTCAAAAAATAAAAGGAACAATGCTGCAGGCATTAAAGTTCTTGATTAAAACACACTACAAAGCTACAGAATTAAAACAATTTGGTATAAGTATAAAGGTGAAAAAGTAGACTAATAAAATAGAATGCAGCACATATATAAACGTTCACATATATGGTCATATAAGGAGTCATTTACATACTCATAATTACTGCAGCATTGTTACTGCAAGCCAATAGGTAAAAGCAATGCAAATTTCTTTCACCAAATCATTCAGTAGATATAATTTGAAATATAAAAATTCTGAAATATTACTCAGTCTTCAAAAAGCAGGAAATATTGTACCAACTGTAAAGATAAATGTTGATGGTATTATGCAAAATGAAATGAGTTACACTCTTAGAAACAAAGAACAGTGTGGTGTTCACAAAGCGCCATAAAACAGAAAAAATTGGGGCAGGCGTGGTGGCTCACACCTGTAATCTGAGCACTTTGAGAGACCCAAGTGGGTGGATCACCTGAAGTCAGGAGTTTAAAACGAGCCTGGCCAACATGGTGAAACCCTATCTCTAATAAAAATACAAAAATTAGCCAGGCATGATGGTAGGCACCTGTAATCTGAGCTACTCAGGAGGCTGAGGCACGAGAATCACTTGAACCTGGGAGGTGGAGGTTGCAGCGAGCTGAGATGGCACCACTGCAATTCAGCCTGGGTGACAGAGCAAGACTCCACCTCAAAAAAGAAAAAAAAAAAAAAAAGAAAGAAAGAAACAATTGGTAATCAATATGTATTAAGATTTAGCTTTGCAAGATAAAAACATTTTAGCAATGTGTTGCATGGCAATGTCAAGATAATTAATATGACTAAACTGAATATTTAAAAATATTTTGTGGTAAATTTTGTTACTTTTTTGACAAGTAAACAATAATACCCAAAAGAGATACAAAGTTATGATAGTTATAAATTATATTCAAATCCAAGTGTTTCTCCCAACAAAAATCATATAGACTCATAAATAGGATGTTGAAATTACAAGAATTTTATGAGTACTCATCTACACAGGATTAGAAAACCATTCACAACAAACCTAAACAACAAATATACAAGTAATTAAAACAACAACAACAACAACAAGGGTAGCCAGGTGCAGTGGCTCATGCCTGTAATCACTTTGGGAGGCTGAAAAGGGAGGATCAAGAGGTCAAGAGTTTGAGACCAGTCTGGCCAACGTGGTAAACTGTCTCTACTAAAAATATAAAAATTAGCCAGGCGTGGTGGTGGGCACCTGTAATCCCAGCTACTCGGGAGGCTGAGGCAGGAAAATCACTTGAACCTGGAAGGCAAAGGTTGCAGTGAGCCGAGATCATGCCACCACACTCCAGCCTGGTCAACAAGAGCAAAACTTTGTCTCGGAAAAAAACAAAAAACAAAACAACAACAACAAAAAACAAGGATAACATTTACACAGGCAAACAAACATAGAAATAATTCCGCTGGAAAAAGACATATGGCTGATTCCTATTTGATTTTTCTCCACATTGTCTTAAATTGTACAAAGTTAAATATTGTCAAGCACAATTATGATATATACTACAAAATCAAAACACAAATAACAGATGTGCGGTGGCATACGCTAGAATATATAACACAAAAATATAAAATTGCAAAACAAAATTAAAACATGGAATGTAAAACTTAATTAGATACCATCAAGTAGATCAATATACTCATTAAGAGAATCTTAGAAGAAGGATATGGGAAAAAAATAATACAGTGGTTACTTGAAGATAAAGGGTGAGA